TGAGGATCAATTTTGGATTTTTTGTTAAGACCCTTATATATCCTCTTCACTTTTACAACCATTTCTCTTGTCCCTTCTTTTTGTTTTTCCAGACTTTGGCAACCTTTGTATTTTTGTCTTTAATTAGCTTGTACATTCATAACTATGTTCTACTGCCAATTGTGCTTGTCAGCAAAATTCCAAGAATGTACTAAAAGTGGAAGAAATTCACATAGCCCTTACTTAAACCCTTTGTTAATTATTGTTCTTATATTGCATGTATTCCAGCTTTTTTTTGGGTAACTCTTTCCTAACAGAAAGAGCACTGTACATTTTTAGATGACAAAACAATTTTATTCATTTTACCTTGCTATAGTTATAAGTTTTAAAAATGATATTGAAAAATGTTTCCAGCACCAACATATTTGTAGGCAAAATCTGTGTTTTGGAATATAAATCTGGTAAAAAAAATATCCTTTGCTTATTTGGCACACTTTTGCACGTCTAAAAAAATTACTTCTTATTTACCTCCATTTGTTGTCGCTGGTAAAAATAGTGGTGGCCACAAGAATTTGTTTGTAGTTCGGATTTAGACCTAAAAATAGTCTGCAACTAGGACTCTAACAACCATACTTAATATTTAGCTAAGAATAATAATACAATTAAGTCCTTTAAAAGGAAATATCCAAAGTTATTAAGTTTTGAAAAGATTATTTTTCTCAATTTAATAATTTTGAATATTAACTTTTGAGGAGGCTATAATTGTGTATAATTAAAACAAATTTTGTAAGATAATTGAAATGATTAATACATATTTCTTAGCAGATAATAAAGATATTTGTTTCTTTTTGATTTGCCTTAGGCCAGACATACCATTTTATACAATGAACACATGGGCTTGTTCAAATTTGACCTAAATTGTAAAAAATGTACCTAGATAACAAGAAAAAAAATGTATTTTTTAATTACTGTGATTTTTTTCCGGGTCATTTTGGTGTAATCTATTTTATATGCTTGTATAATTATAGTGTCATATTTTGAAAATTGTAAAACTTGACATTTTACATGAATTTATAGTTTTCATGTTTTTCTGAAAGTTTTTGATGATTTCTGCAAATCTTTAGGCAATGCATGAAACTGTTAAAACAATTATATATAAGTCTAAAAAATTTTGAACAAGGTGCCAGATCTTAGAAGTCATTTGTCAACTCAGTTTATTTTGATTATCTATAATTTCTGAAATCATAAGTTGTTATACTAAACTTTCCTTTAAAAATGTTATTGCTTCAATAAATAATCTGATTCTGTTACCAGGTCACTATTTCATACATTGTTTTCCCAGTGAACTAGTCAATGAAGCATAACTAAAATTTAGCATAGTGCCGAGTATATGTTTCCAAAGCGAACTCTGGATTGTTCTTCTTAATTAATAGTCATACATTTTGTACCATATAAAAATGAATATATAATTTTATAATTTGTAAGATTTGTGCATAATGGATAATTTCTAAGTGTAAATAGGTCGAGACAAGCGGAACAGTCTTAGGTGAGAGAATAGTTGTGACTTTTGGTTACAGTCGTGCATCCTTAAGATCCCTGCAAAGTGGTTTTTCCAACAACAAACAGGAGTAGAAATTTGTATTATATTTTCTAGAAGTTAAAAAATATTTATTCATTATGTTTTCAATAATTTTAAACATGATTGTTGCTACTTAGCATATAAATGTTGTTGTTTTTATGGAAACAAATGACATTAACACAAATGTACATTACTTCACCCAAAAGAGTGAACATTTTGAATGTGTGTACTTCATTTTTGCTTGTTTAATTTCTAAACTAATTTTTATATGCCTGTGAAAAACGGTCGTTTTATGGTATACCAAAGTCTGTCTGTCCATCAACACATTGTACGATAACTCAAATTTGCTCCAACCAATTCTCACATAATTTTGAGAACATAAGGATTCACCGAAGAAAGCTCCCTTTCAATTTTGAAATTTTTGACTGTGTCTTTCCAGAGTTATGGGACTCTAACAGTTAAGATTTTATAAGGCAATTTTTCACATTTCCCACACAAACTCCTATATTCTTGGATAGATTTCCTCCTTGTTGGGGTTGAAGAAAGAAAGCTCCCTTTCGATTTAAAAATCTTTTCTGTTTATCATTCCAGAGTTACTGGACTTTAATTGTCAGAGTTGAGTAGATTTTTCACATATATTGTACCAGGGATTGATATACTGGAAACTTTACATTATTGTTGGGATTGGTAAACATAGCAAACTATTCAATTTAAAAAAAGTTCTGATATGTCATTCCAGAGTTAAGTGACTTTGGCCCTCAGATAAATAAAAGGCATTTTTTTTTAATATCATGCACTAGCCCTAGTATGCTTGGATCAAATTACTACTAACTTATCACTATTGTTAGCACAAGTAAATGTAGATTGGCTTTTGATTTTGAAAATTTGCTGGTTTGTCATTTAACAGTCATATTTGATGCAATATTTATATGCCTAAGAGTATCCTCAGACTTGTTTTTCTACAGATCCTTTTTATTTGCTTATGATTAAATGCATTTGAGATATTCCATTCTATTCTTGCAACAATTTCAATATGCACAAAACGGGTGCATGGTGCACTATTGGCGCATCTGTTTATTTTAACTTGTAAATACATGTACTGAAATGTTTACTTTTCAAAATTACTTTCTTAGAGTGCATTTGTTTCTAACCCGAAATTTTGTCATTGATGACTATTGTTTAGTAAACGTTAAGCTGCTAGAAACAAATACATCGTTTAATGAACTTTTTCAACCTTGCGTAGTGAGACAGAAATAGATTACTGTAAACAAACAGGTCAAAGTGCGGGAAATGAATAACCAGGACTTTGCGAAAACAACACACGTGCTTGTAATTATTTAAACGACAGATGCAGAAACAAATGTATCATTTACAAATCTAAACGATAAACGATCAACGACTACGGGACTGCACGTACATCGTTTATGAGAACGATGTCAACGTTGACCAAAAAATGTAAGAAACAAATGGACTGAAGACTACGCGCATAATCATTTACATCGTTTGGGTTAGAAACAAATGCGCTCTTAATGTAATAAGGACACATAAGCTATTTTCAATATTATGCATGCTTCTTATTAGAATAAAGGTGTGTCAAATACACCCGTTAGATATGTGAAGAAATACTAACAACACAATTTTGATTTATCACTGTAAAGCAGTGAAAAAAAAACCAATGAAGTAACTCATATGCCACACCATCTAATTTCTTCTCCAACAACAAAGAATTTAAATTTTCTCATTTTCTTTGGTATCCCTCAGCCCATAAAACAGTATGAGCCAACTATCTTACAGGAAATCTAAGTATTTATGAATACAAATCTTGTTTTTGTCAAATGACAGTTTTCCATATGTTTTTGATGGATGGGTTATGGGTCCTGATGGGGCATAAATGTCATTTCATTTCATTTGAATTTTATAATTTAAAATTTTATAGGAGTGAACATTTAATATATATTGATCTGATAAAAAGTTTTTTTGACTGAAATTTTATTGAATAAACAAATCTGGAACTATCATTAGTTTGTTTTTCTATCCCCGATTTATGGAGATGAAATTATAATTAAGTCAGAATTCTCTTTTATTTTCTTTTGAAGGTAAAAACTTGATAACTGGTGCCTTATTTACATTTTAAAAGGTGCCCTGGAAGGTTTCAGAATTTTAAAGAATTGTCCAAAAGACAAAATAATGAAAAGTATAATATGTAATGTGAATTATACATGTGTATGTAAATGAAATATTTTGAAGTTATCTTGAAACACTACTGATATTAATTATATTTAAAAATTTAGGAGTTATGTCAGAATATATAAAAACAAACTCTAATATCATGTGCCACCATTTATAAAGAAGAAAAATTGTTTTTCTATGAAACTTCATAACTTTAAACTAAAAAAAAATACTTATTTAAAATGATTTAAGAGTCAATTTTGCATATTTCAAATTTTGAGATATCCAGAAATAAGTAAAATCTAGAAATAATATAGCTTTGAAGTTGAAATTCCAACTGAGTTCAAAAGGGTATATGCTATAGTTTGAGTTTTATCACACTTGTTGGTAGACATTTTATCCATCTGCAAAAAAAATAATAATGAAAATTAATTTTTCTCTTTATTGAACTAGTACTTTGAAACTTCTAATATAATCATATTATATTTCAAGGTTACAGCAAGTGTCATATTTTTTGCTCAATCACATTTTATCCATGAGGAAAAAGCTTGAGATTTTTCAAAGTGAAATCTATCTAATTAACATTTTTGAATCTAAAGTTAAAATTTTCTTAATATGCGATAGTTGTGAGAATTTTCAGACTTATCCTTTTGCCCTTTAAGTCTATATAAAAAAACTATTTTCAAATATTATGCCATAAGTGATATTTTCTAATAACCTAGATTACTGTACTTTTACTCAAAACTTTTTATTCAGGTTATTGAAGAAGTATTGTTAAAAGCAAGATCTTTTTATATAATTGTTTCAGCAAAATCATATCTTTTGTGGTGTTATTTTATACTACTTTTTCATTTATTTTATAAAACAGATACAATAAAGGAAGTACGTATTATCTTATGTAGAAAAAAAATAATTCATTCTTCTCATATATAACTATGTAAATTTTCTAGTGGAGATTATATGTGAATATTTTTTTCTAAGCTAATCTTGAAATTGTTAAAATTAGAAAAAAAAAACATAATTTGAAAAATGCACAGTTATCATTAATTCTTTGGTAACTTATTCAGATAACTCATATATTTGATTACAAACTTTTTTCCATGAAGGTATTTGTTCAGAAATACTAACTCCTTTACACCCTCACTTCAAATGAACCAATACAAAAAAGTTCTTATGACAAAAAATAGATGTGTAACGTTACATTGAGTGTAACCTAAGACCCATCGCCTATTGATATGATAAGTACCCAGTGCCCATTACGCTAAAGGTATTTCCTGTGTATAGTACAATTCTCTTTTTCTAAAGTCCGTATTTTCTGTCATTGTTGAATTCCATGCACCAGTGATTCTTACTGAAGAAATTTTTAGTATGATTTGCAGTGCCTTGGGGTGATATCTGATTGTAAAATACTCTGAAGGTATAATTCCTCTTTGGAGTAGACAGTTAACTGGTCATTCCATCTGCAGGATAAACATTTTTAAAAGTATTTGAGGAATTGTGTTACAATGGGTGCATTCTTTTCGGACATCCATTGAATAAAAAGTTGTTAGTGTGTAACATATATATATGATTTAGGATAAAGAAAAGCCATGTGCTAGTATGTAGCTGTCAGCTATTTGTAGATTTAATGGAGTAATACACATCATTCTTATGGCCTCATATTCTACAGAAGTGTGATTTTTATACCCAATATATTATCTACTGGATTTAATTGTCATAAAAAAGAAAACATGGATTTAAATACGATCTACCTGGAGCATGGAAGAACACCTTGTCGATTAATTTTCAAAATATTAAATGTAGGTATAATTTAAAACCACACATGTTATCTACAAGTTAAATATTTCAGACATATATTATACAACTGTTTATGTTTATATTTTGATATTAGCATAACTAATTAGATTTTGACAAAAATAAGATAATTAGATATACAGTAATTTATTGTAATCAGATGCATTAGTAGAAATCTGACCAGTTGTGCAGGGTTGTAAAACCCATAATTTATTATTTGTTTATAGATATAAGAAGATTTGTTTGTTAATGAATTTTAACGCTTATCTTATCAAAAGTCATTTTTAAGTGCAGCAGTAATAAATACACATTCCTTGAATTCATAATTGCCCTCCATAAATTGAAAATTTGTATGGAAAATATTTTTTAATTTCTAAAAATTCAACTTGGATTAAGTGCTACCAAGTTTCTTCTTTTGACTTGGAATTTCAACCACACAATTTGTAAAAAGGTTTGTAAGTAATATTTCAATTTCAAATGTAATTCTATCTAATTATCATGATTATGCAATTCATTTTTAATTTGATTTACTCTATAATATCTAAAATAATTTATTGTTATGCACCAGAAATGTTGTGCAGTAAGTGGTAATGGTCCAGAACTATTAAAGTCTGTGTACATGATACCCTCCATTATAACAATGGACTACTATGTGTAATTATTGAATCATTTCATATGGAAATTTGATTTATTAAATGTGCATTTAAAAAAGGGTATGAAGATTTTTTGTATTGTTCATTACTTCATTTTTTGTAAACGGACATCAAATTTCCATTTTTGTACAAGGATTTTTTTAGAATAAGTAATAGTCGAGCATTGTATGTATTAACAATACAATTATCTTTTTATCAGGTTTTCTTTCTACTTTTATTATAAATTAAGTGTGAAATTTTAACAGTAAGTGTTTGGAAAAGTATTGAAATTTTACTGGTATTCAAATTTTTTAATGTAATGAAGTTGACTATTAATTTTATTATACATGTTATAATGATTATTCAATATTTTAAAGAAAAATAAAACACTTTTTCCTGTGGCCATGGGCACTGCATTTTGTTAACATAGAAGCACACAGAACACCCAGTTTTTAGAATTAAAAGACAGATCTGTAAATTTTTTTTATCTTTAATTCTATATGTGGATGAGGAAAATGAGAAAAGACTTACTCAGTGGCTAACTCAAACTAAATTAATAAACACACACTATTTACTAATGCTTTTATGAAATTTATAAAATTGTGTGTAATTGTGTTGTTAATTTGAATATAAATGATCTGTCGTTTGTCTCATACTTTTAATTGTCTATGTATTTGCATGTAGAATATATATATATATATTTTTACAAAAAGGGTTATAAACATGGAGGATATGGGTGATAATTCAAACATTTCTTGATGTGCTTAAAAAACCATTATATAAATGAAGGATTGAAACAGGTATTCCAGATGGAAATGATTAGGAAGGGGCAAACATTCAAGAAAACTGATTTAATGTTTACTTTAGCTCTCTGTACCCTCTGTCCAACTTTTGCTTGAAACTGTTAACATGGTAAACATTATTTCATTATTTTACTATTTTTGTACTAAAATTCATTATCTTAAAAATATTTTGTTTTGTTAACAGCATTTATATAAAACAAAATAGAGAGAAATTTAATAAGAAAAATAATAAATATAAAACAAAACAAAATGAGTCTATAACAGAATTTCCTCTATAAATTATGTTGTCTTGTTAGTAATTTTTTGTCCTGTCAAGCCTTTTAAAGTAGTCTGGTTTAGGACAGAGATTTTACATTCAAACAATGCAATTTATATTTTAGCCCAGTACATAATTAAATATATTAATATACTGAGCCAAATGATTTAAGGATCTTTATTCCCATAAATAACTCCAAACAAATACACATGGCGACTGAATACAAGTACAACCTTTTAGGAATCTCTGGTTGAGTCATTGTGTGGCTGACACAAGAGGAAGATCTAAAGAAAGGGATAGGCATTAATTGATGGCCATTTGTCCACAAATATTTTAATGGACAATGTTACAGGTATTTTTTAAAGGTTTTTAATGCTCCCCTCTGTCAGTTGGGTATTTGATGTTTTCTCAAATTTTTATTTTCGAGGATCATTTGACTTGTTTTTTATGTGTTTGATATAATGGTTAAGCAGAAAAATGGTGTTGTAAATTTGGACTTTTTTCATTTTTTCATCAAGTTGCACCAGTGTAAAGCTGGCTTATAAGGTACAGTGGATGTCGGGATGCTGTGTGGGATATCTGTTTTGTGTAATTCCTCCCACATTTTTTTTAATGAGTGATTTCAGATTCGAAAGAATGTATTGTATACATTACATTTGTACTTTGAAGATAAGCACCTGACTATGTGCACACATTTAGATATTTTTGTAAATTTTCCAGTGATGAAACTAATTTTCAATAACACTCTCAATAGAGGGTACCCATTTTGTGTGATCAACTTTTTCTAAAGTTATTATCTCAGAGCCTTCAAACAGAAGATCTGCACCACACTTTAAGAGAATTTTTGCAAGTAATGACTTAGATCTTGTAAATCATAAAAAAAAGAACTTTAAGAGTGCAAAAAGGTTAAGAAAGTCAAAATCTAGAATTGAAAAAAAAAGTATCTGATGATCCCACCTGTCAACCAACATGGCTGCAAACAAATATGAGTTGATTCTTTCAATATAGAGTTATTGTTCTTCAATGACCTCATTTCATGGATCAGTGAACAAGGTTAAGTTTTCGTGGTCAAGTCCATATCTCAGGTACTATAAGCAATAGGTCTTCTATATTTGGTGTATGTAATGATTGTAAGATGCACACATCCAACTGGCAGGTGTCATCTGACCTTGACCTCATTTTCATGGTTCAGTGGTAAAAGTTAAGTTTTTGTGTTTTGGTCTTTTTTCTAATACTGTACATTTGCTGTATGCAATAGGTCAACTATATTTGGTGTATGGAAATATTTTACCATGTAAATGTCAGTCTAACAGGTTTTATTTGACCTTAACCTCATTTTCACAGTTCATTGCTCAATGTTAAGTTTTTGTGTTTTGATCTGTTTGCAATAGGTCAACTATATTTGGTGTATGGAAATATTTTACAATGTACATGTCAGTCTGGCAGGCTTTATTTGACCTTGACCTCATTTTCATGGTTCGTTGCTTAATGTTAAGATTTTGTGTTATGGTCTGTTCTTCTTAAACTTTAAGCAATAGGTCAACTATATTTGGTGTATGAAATGATTGTAAGGTGTATATGTCTGTATGCCAAATATCATCTGACCTTCACCTCATTTTCATGGTTCATTGTTCAATGTTCAGTTTTCCTAGTTAACTTTGTTTCTTAGATACTATATGGAATGATTTTAAGGTGTACATGTCTGTCTGGCAGGGTTCATCTGACCTTGACCTCATTTCCATGGTTTGGTCTGTTTCTTTTATACTGTAAGCAATAGGTCATCTAATATTTGGTGTATGGAATGATTGTATTAAGGGTGTACATGTATTTCTGGCTTGGTTTATCTGACATTGACCTCATTTTCTTGGATCATAAATGTTATTGTGATACTTGTAGTAAAACTTTATATTTAGGACTATCAATATAAAATCGATGGTCAGTATAGTAGGCGAGACATTTCAGCGTGTGCACTCTTGTTGTTTTATTTTTGGTGTTTAAATTCATTTTTTTTTTGGTTAATTAGAATTTCTTTAATATTTCAAATTATTTTTAGTTATTTAATTTGTCAATGCTCCTATTCATACAATTATACAATAATTAGTACTTTATACATGCTGTCCCTCTATTCATATGTGGAAAATAAGAATAGAGGTTCTTAGCATGTATAAACTACTATTATTGTAAGTTTGTTTGAATAGGAACAAGAAAACATCAATTAAGACAACAAGTACACATTATATGAAATTAGAAAAATTATAATCTAAACTCTGGAAGAAAGGTCCATGCCCCAAATGATGCCTGTGCCCGGTTTCACTTTAAGGATGGAAAAGCCGACAGGAAAGAGGCACTTTAAATTGACTTTAGGGAAGGCACGATATTAGATACACTTAAGATTCATACACTAAAGATTCAAACAATATGTAAAAGATAAAGGATTTCAGATAGTAACTTGTGTCAATTTTGGTTTGAAGAACAAGCTGTGTGTTATTGCGAAGGAAGTTTTATTGGAAAAATACCTATATGGTCTTACTACTCTATGGTCCTGACCCTTAATAACCAAACGAGTATATACTCATATGGTCATGACCATATGGGTATGGTCGAAATACTCATATTGTACTGAATATATATACAATATATTAAGATTCATGTTTCACAAGGTTCAAGAGCTGGATAATCCATATCTTGTGAACAGATCCCTTAATGTCTGAATTTTGGGTCTGGCATAAGTCTGCTGTCCTTGACTTCTTTTTCAAGGTTCATTGGTTAACCTGAAGTTATGCCATATAACGTTGGAATCTTAGATTTGTACTAACAAGAGCAACACGACAGATGCCACATGTCGAGCAGGATCTGCTTACCCTTCTGGAGCACTTGAGATTACCCCTGGTTTCTGGTGGGTTTGTGTTGCTCAGTCTTTAGTTTTCTATGTTATGTGTTGTGTGCTGTTGTTCCTCTTTTGGTCTTTTTCTTTTTTTGCCAAGGCTTTGAGTTTGAATGCCCTTTTGGTATCTTTCGCATCTCTTTTAGATTATAAGTGTATAAACAATAAATTTACAATATTTGGTGTGTACAATGTTAGGTGCACAGGGTTAATCTTGACCTCATTTTCATGGTTCATTGCTCAATGTAAAGTGATAAGTATAAAATAAGGAGATGTGGTACGATTGCCAATAAGGCAACTATTCACCAAAGTCCAAATGATGTGGATGTAAGCAGCTATAGGTCACTGCATGTACTGCCTTCAACAATGAGCAAAATCAATACCTTATAGTCAGCTATAAAAGGATCAACCATGACAAAAAGTTAAACAATTCAAAGGCCTGAATTTTGCTAAAACAATAAATGAAAAACTAACATGACAGACAGCATCCGTTATGACAACCTCTGAATTACAGGCTCTTGAATAGGGATGAGGCAGGGTTTAATATGTTATACCTCCACCTAATCTGGATAAGTGGTGTAACAGCAACCTCCACCTAATCTGGATCAGTGGTGTAACAGCAAACTATTAAAAACAGTTGAAAACAATACTTTACTTGTCAGATTTTCAAAGAGATGATAAAATAAAACTAACAAAAGACCCAAGGCACTCATCTAATAGTTTCTTACAGTTAATGACAGCTTGTTCAAAGCCAATTAAAAACAATTCATTAAATCAGTCAGTTTCTCTGATTTATATTTTATAGGTCCTCTATAACAAGTGTATAGAATGATGATAAGGGTTACTTATATGTCTGACAAGGTTCATCTGAAATTGTCATAAAGTCAAGTTGTTTATATTTTGTTTTACCTTAACCCTTTCTTCAGATGCTAAAATCAAAGTACTAAAGTTCTGAACATCGGATGACCGCAAGTTCTTGTGGATGGTCCGACAAGCACTTGTCTCAGAAAAAAATCACATCTCTATCCCTGAATGTGAGGTTAATGTACAGATATAATTTTTTTCTGGGACAAGTTCGTGCGTGGATGATAAATAAATGACAGGGAATTCAACCTCACCGTAATGACTATTATATGGTAGTGATACAAATCAATATACTCTGGTTTATTGTTATATATTATATTAATACTTGTATATTACAGTTACATGTATATATAATTTTCATGCATTTGTATATCATTCTACTATATTAATAATAGTGCAGTGCAAGTGCATGGTGGACACTCTTCTGTAATAATTTGATTTTTCTAATAGAATGGATTTGAGTAGGCATTTATATTTTCCCGCAAAAAATTTTTAATCATCCATGCAGAGTTATCCTTCCTTGAGATTGCAAACGTTCTTGATATACACTTCCACATGCATGTGCATAGATATTAATGATTTTTTACTTATACGTATATACATACAAGAAAACATTTTAATATTATTAATTTATCTTCTTTAAAAAGTATTTGATGAGTATTCATTGTAGAAATGAATTTATAACAAGCGATAAGAAATGTTAGTTTGCACTTGATGATGTCTACATATTCATCATGTTTATAGATCGGTTAAAAACCCAAAACGAATGTTACGTAATGGAAATCTAGGCGATAGCAATACACCAGAATGCCCTCACTGTCATCCGCTGTAAAAATGTGACCTTAAATGTAACCATTATTATATTTCATTTTCATTGAATTCACAGTGCCAAATAATTCTTAAAATGTACCTTTAACTTTATACTTTTTTAATAGTCAAATGTAGCAGAAGGCAAGATATTACAGTATAAAACTGGTAAAGTCTTCTCCAAATTTTATCATTCATTACCCAACAAAAATATTCACAATTAGAACAAATATAAAAAGATCAAGAAAGCCATGTCAATAACCGGCTGACTTATTTATGAATTTATTGATATATTGGAAAACACTAGAGATGAACTAGAACACATTTTTGTTTAGGGGCCAGCTGAAGCCCGCCTGTGGGTGCGGGATTTTCTCACTGTGTTGAAGACCCATTGGTGGCCTTCAGCTGTTTTCTTCTCTTTGGTTAAGTTGTTTTCTCTTTGACACATTCCCCATTTCCATTCTCAATTTTAGGAAAGTTTCTCAACAAAAAAAGTGGTGAAATTGAAAGCTCATCAACCCCTTGTAAATTATAGAAAGATACTAATTTAAACTGCTGAAAAATCATATGTTGATTAGTGAGGAAAAAGGGTTTTTGATATTTCCTGGGCTGTTCCCAATGATCCAGAGACCTGGTAACTGTCAATAATACAAGCCTTTTATAATTTCAGACTTTAATCCATGGTAATTATAATGATAATATGTAAGAATAAGATATGGTCAAACTTACTTGTTTTAGGACAAGTAAGAAGGAAAAACTGATGATGTTGGGATATTTAAATCCAAGAGCTGATGTCAACCATTTGTCAAGTTAAACATTATACCTATATCTATTTTAAGTGACATAATGAATTATGAAATATTTACTTTGCAGTTTTATTAATATACTTTTATATTAATATACTTTTATTTACTAAGTAACACTTATAAACAAGAAGTATTTGTTAATTTTTGTGTTGTTTCATTTCAGGAGTAATGAAGAAGAGAAGAAATAAGTATGTCAGATGAAGAATGTCCAAACGTTACGGACATCGACTTGGCGCCAACCAAAGAGTCAACTAGTTCACAGACCAGTCCAGATGGTAAGTGCAACTAAGTCCCAAAGTAACACTGATACTAAAAACAATGTAAAGGACCATCAATTACTATGATAAAAAAGGCTTTGATTGCATCCTCCTTTTTGAATAGTAATAAAAATCCAAAAAGGATAAATGCAATTATTAACAAAGAAAATGCAAATGTTTTGCCATAAAGTGCAGATTCAGCATAAATATAAAAATAAGGAGATTAAAGGCTTGGTTAGACAGAGCTAGTTGGTTGTAAGGAAGTTATCTATTCCTACAATCTGCAATGAAAAAGGCCATCAATTACTAAAATAAAAACAGCTTTGATTGGATCCTCTTTTTTAAATAATAATGAAAATCTACATTGCTTAGTTGGATTAGAATATCAACTAAGAAAATGCCCATGTTTTGCAAAGTGGATTTATCATACAGCATGGTAAGAAAGAGCTAGTTGGTTGGATATGAATTTGACTATAGTGTGTTCCCCTCCTACAATTTGCAGTTCAAATTCCTGAAACAAAAGTGCAGAATGTATGCAGGCTCATATGCATTGTAGTTGTTATCTCACCCATTATACATTTTACAAGTTCTTGTGCCTGTTGTACATATCATTTTTTTTCATTTTTTGATGAGTTTATCATTTGCAGAATTATAAATAGTCTTATAATCTTTAGTATGGGAATGCTTACGATGTGATTTAGCAATTTCTATGATACAAGAGGCCAAAATTCAATCAACTTTTTGTTGTTCTCTCCTTATAAAGGGATTCAATTAGTAACTTTTAGATTGCAATGCAATTTTTTGTATTTTTATAACAGCATTGAATATTTTCAGTTTTTGCCATATTATATATATAGTATGTATTTTTTTTTTGGAGTAACATGGAACTAAACCTAGAAAAAAAAACCAGACCAATCTGTTGCTAGTGTTTATGTAAGCAAAACTGCCAACAAAATTGAAATGCAATCCCTCCTTCACAAATGAAGTTACTCTTTTACCAAAGTTGATGAGGGGCTGATGTCAGCTCCTCTTTACGCTTTGTTGTTCTAAGGGCTAATCCAAAATTAAATATGTCATATGCTATGTGTTGGAGAGGGTCGGTGTTGGGAGGCACTTTTTGCCATTACTATTTTAATAAAAAAATTAATGCATCATTTAGTAAAAAAGTTATTTTAATCCCCACTACCCTGATATACCCCACAGTTGATTGACACTTTGCAGAGGTACACATAGAAAAGAGTGTCTAAGTGACAAAAGAATGAAGTCACATGACCCATATTGCATGATTTACCATCTTTTTAAGTAAAAAATTAGTTTAATCTGAAAAAAATGCAGACAATCATGTACATTTATGTGATGATGCCCTTATGCTTATTGGAGTATGATAGACTTCCCTTTGAAAGCATGTCATTCATGTAAATTTCATTTCTCAGGTGACATAAACTAGTTATTTGTATTAAATCTTCAAAATACATGTATATTGATTTATTATTAAAAACTTTGCTGAAATTTTGTTTGAAGCAAACTCTGCCATAAAATTTGTGTTTTAGGTATCTCTATAACTAAAAGAATAAGGAGATGTGGTATGATTGCCAATGAGACAACTATCCACAAGTTCAAATAAAATGGATGTAAACAATTATAGGCAACTGTACAGCCTTCAACAATGAGAAAAACCCATGCTGTATAGTCAGCTATAAATGACATGAAAAAATATGAAACAATTCAATTGAGAAAATTGAAGGCTTAATTTAAAACAAAACAATTTTCGAAAAAAACATATACCACGTATGACAGACATGAACCAATGGCAGCAACTGGACTACAGGCTCCTGACTTGGGAGAGGCACATAAAGAATGTGGCTGGGTTAAACATGTTTGAAGGGGCCAACACTCCCCTAACCTGGGACAGTGGTGTAACTGCACAACACAAGAACACTATAAAAATCAGTTGAAAAGGGCTTAACTCATCAGATCAATACAAAGCAGAAAAACATGTAACAAAAACACAGACTGGACGTGGCAGGCTATTTATACATCCATCACAACACAAAAGACACAAAGTACAGATCTGAGAGTACTCACAGTTACTGACAGCTAGTTCAAAGGCAGTAACAACTAATGAAAAAAATCATGTATCTAAGACAATATCAATCAGTACACATCCAACATCCAATGGATTTAGTGTTAAGATATCACTAACAGTCAGAGAAAAACATGACCTTGTGTAATGTCAAAAAATAGGTATCCTTCCGTATGTCCCAAAATTAGTTTCCGTTCTCTAACTTTAGTTTGTCTCAACCAAATGTTATGAAACTTATACACAATTCTTATTATCACCAAACACAGATCAAGTTCAAATTTGGGTGGCGTCACCTTCACCATCTCGTGTTATCTCCCTTCATAAATGGAAAAATTACTTAATTTGGCATTTCCGCACTCTAACTTTAGTTTACATCATCCAATTGATATGAAACTTACACACAATGCTCATTACCTCCAAACACAGATCAGGTATGAATATGGATGATGTCATTTTCACGGTTCTTAAGTTATGTCCCTTTATAAATGTCAAAATTGCTGAATATGCTGTTTTCGTATTCTAACTTTGCTACATTGACCTTTGCATATTTACAAGCAGGGGCATCTGTGTACCATGGACACATTCTCCTTTTATTTTCATCCTAATTTTAAAAGTTCTCAGTTACTAAGTGACATACATATGATACAATCATATAACTTATTGAACAGATGCAACTAGGGGTAGCACAATACATATGATACAATCATATAACTTATTGAACAGATGCAACTAGGGGTAGCACATAAGCTTCTTTTAAAATGTAAGTATTGTTTTTCGCCATTTTGGTCAACATGCAGGTTTAATATTCAAGATCATCCATGAGGTTTAAAAAGATGCATTTTCAATTATTCTGCAATTTTGGAATAATTAATCAATATTTTTAAGTATTCTTTTTTTTGCTTGTTAAGCATTAGTTGCATTGATAAATCAATGTCATTTTAATGACATCAATCAATGTTGTTTCTAGAAAAAAATTCATCAAAGTAAACAAGTTTGTTCTTTGTTAAAAGTGAACAATTTTTTGTTTTGGTCTGTAATTGTGTAATAAGGAACTTTGCATCTATTGGTTGATGTCAGCATAAAATTCTTTCAAATTCATCCATTTCCACTAATACCTTCAGTATAATCCTTTCTAAATTGAAGTTAACAAAATTTAATAATCATGATATTTTCTTTAAGTGACAAGTAGGAAGACAAGAAAAGCTTTACTATCATGGACTAACTACAAAATATATTCATCATGCTGATGTCATAAGGTTCCCATACTATGAAGGAGTTTCTGTAGGGTTCAGATGGAACACCAATCTCTATTCCAAAACTTTCCCATGACCACTTAATGGACACCAAAGAAGCACAAACTCTTTTTAAAACTGATAAAGTTATTCACCTCTTATTACCTATCTTAGCTAGGAAAGGTAGTGGGCACACATTACCAGTCTGCAAGTCCTTCTGCACTACTGGATAGAAACAAACAAAACTTTACTGAAAAGGAGCTATGCTCCTTTGGGTCATCTGTTTTAACATTTAATCAATTTCATTTTAATGGTTTCTCAAACTAAACTGAAATTTTGAACAATGCAGGCACTCCGGCTTCCTCCACCAATAAAAACTGACAGCCACAAGATAGAACAATAGTGCTGAAAGTGGTGTTAAACACCAATCAATCAATGGCAGGGTAGGAATTTTCTTAACTTTTTTTTCAGGAACTTTAAATTAAAGCATTTTACATACATGTAACCATGCTATACTGTGTGTTTGGCTTTCACATCCATTGCTCTTCAACTTATGGTTTTCTGAATACTTATAGGGAGGCTACCATTAGTTAACAATAGCTCACAGTTCAAATTTAAACAAATTTAAATGACCAAATATGTTTACCCTAAAAGATCCTTTCCAAAGTATAAAAGCTATATGATATAAGATACTTAAATTGCTATTCATCATTAAAGTTCATTTGATACAAAGAAATCTGAGCTGACCTTTAAGCTTTTATACCTTTTTCACTTTTTTTGGTTTGAGGGGGTGAAATCTTATACAGTGTGTAAGCTTAGGTAAAATCTTTTCATTCCATTAAACAAGGAGAATAGAATGTACTGCCTTGTCATACAGTACTAAGTATTTAAAGTGGGAAAGATGTACAAAATTTTCTCAATAGGATCTTTTGAAAATAAGATGAAAAAAGGAAGATATTATGTTTAAGTTAAATTTGAAAGAAGAACAAGACAATAAATTTTAAGTTCCTAGACCTTTGCCAACACATATAATATGCTGATGTTAAAAATGCCATCAATCAGATTATTTACTCATATTCTCAGAATATAAATAAAACAGGAGCTGAAAGCTATTTTTCATGTGTCAATTCTTGTATAATTGAGGTAACCTAGATCATCTGATCTAATTTCACCAAATCTACTTTCTTGTCAATCAAATTGGAAATTGGATCCTTAGACATGTGACCTTCAAGTATAAACTGTGAAGCATAAGTCACTGTAGTCTTGTGTATTCCTGTCAAGTTCTACTATAAACATTGACAGCTCTCATGAATATTTATAAAGGAAAAAAACGTAAGAAAAAAACCCAATTTTGAAAACCACAAGAGCTTGACAATGATATTTTATGGAATCTTTAATAAAAATCATATGGTAACACGAATTTCAATGATATGGAAAAAAACCCAATTTCTTCTAAAAACTTATGTTGTTTAATATAGATTATTATCAAATTATACACTATTATAAGATATATAGGGAACTTATCATCTCATAATCATTATATTTTCAGGTGAGAAATGAAGTTATTAGCTTCAAAAATGTCTGATCATCACATAATCAAATACCTCATACAGAGGCTCAAAAAATAAAGAAAGCTTTAGAAAACCAGAGTAACATGTAGATGAATGTTATTTCTAACAAAAACATTTTAAAGATTTCAGTTA